CATTCTACCACTGAGCTACATCCCCTGTCCTAATGTAGGTCATTTCTGTCCAAGTTCTGAAGAAAATAGATGAAATGACTCCACTTTTCTTCCAAGGAGAAATTTTCCTCTCCCCTCCCATACAAAAAAAAAAAAGTTTCATTTTCAAATAAAAATGGTTATGACCATCTCTCTCTGTTATTACCCAGTCACAACAAAAACTGGTATGTGTTTCCCTTTATGAATCTACTGAAATGCCTTTTTGTTTGTGATTTATATAAATGAACATAACAGAACAAACTTATGTAATTATAAGTTTTTATTCTACATTTGGAGAATGAATGTCCAATAGTTTAAAAGTATCTTCTTTGTCTCCTAAAAAGTACTCCTGGTATCAGATAGGAAAACATGACTAGCTGATTGCCACAGTTTGGGTCTGGAATGTTGTCCAGAGGCCCGTTCCCCAGCATGTGTGTGGCACCATGGGAAGTGGGGGTACCTTCAGGATGTGGGGCCTAGGGAAAGCAAGTTAGGTTATTAGAGATGTACCTTTGAAGGGCACTCTGGCCCCTTCCTGTCTTTTTTTTTTTTTTTTTTTTTTTGCTTTCTGGCTACTTTGAGTGAGCAGCCTCTTCTGCCATGTGCTCCTGCTATGAAGATATGCCTCACCAGAGGCCCAGAAGTAATGGGACAACTGTGGACTGAAACTTTTAAGACTGTGAGCCAAAATAAATCTGTCCTTCCTTAAGTTGATTATCTCAGGTATTTTATCATAATTGGTAGAAAACTAGCACATTGAGGGTTTGGACATTTTTACGGACAGGTTGTGATGATACATGGGGCTTTTCAAAGTGTGAGCTTTTTGGTATATTTCTTTGTTTTTTAGACAGATTTGGCTAGTAAGCTTTAACTCTCTCTTTCTATGAAGACAACACCATTTAAAAACAATTTTCAGTCAGAAAATACAGTACTGAGACATACAGTATGAATTGTTTCCTTTGAGTTTTGTTCATGTAATGCATTTACTTCTGTTTTTCAAGAATATTCAGTTACATTAAAACCTTAAAAATTACATTCTGAAAAAGCATGAAATAAAAATACCTTGCTAAAATGGGAGACATAAACATATATATATATATATATATATATATATATATATATACACACATATATACATATATATATATTTTTTTTCATATGTATTTACATTTTTGGACATAAGGTATAAATTGCTATACTATTAAGACTATACTATTTTTTAACCTCTTCCTATATATTACTTTACCCTATTCGAAAGCAAAGGTATCCCAGAACTTATTTTGATATTGAACTATTTTGCTCAGTTTTAAAAAAATAAAAGATACTTTTATTTTTTAAAGGAATAGGATTTATTCAAGTGTGAAATTCTCACAGGGGCAAGAGGGGACCTGAGAGCAGGTTGCCACTTAGGTGTGCTAGTCTAGGGGGTTCTTTCTTTTTTTATTTGTTCTAATTAGTTACACATGAGAATAGAATGCACTTATATATTTTGATGTTTCATACATAGATGGGATATAATTTCTCATTTTTCTGAGTATACATATTGTAGAATCACATTGGTCATACAGTCACATAAATACATATAGTAATAATGTCTGTTTCATTCTACTATTTTTCTTATCCCCACATTCTCTGATTTCTCTTCCTTTCACTTCCCTCTACCTAAGGTAACTTTTTTTTTTTTTTGCACCACAATTCTTAATACACATGAATACCATACTTTTTGTATTTCTGTTTGTATATAAAATATGTTGACATCCAATTCAAGTCTTCATGCATGTACTTTGTATAATGATGACTATTACATTCCACCATCCTTGTTACTCCCCTACCCTCTCCCTTTCCCTCCTACCCTTCTTCCCTATCTTGAATTCATGTATTCCTCCCATGCTCTCACTCCTAATCCCACTTTGAGTCAACCTCTCTATATCAGAGAAAACATTCAATATTTGTTTTGGGGGGATTGGCTGACTTCACTTAGCATTATCTTCTCCAATGCCATCCATTTCCCTGCAAATGCCATGGTTTTGTTCTGGAAAATACTTTTATTTAAAAGACATTCTTTGAATGTGAAGAAAACACACAGATTCCATCAAAATGTTTATGTAAGAAGACTAAGTTTCTCACTGTCACAAAAACTAATTATGGAAGAACAAAAGATTTGACAGTGATTAGAGATCTACCTCCTTTGGTCCACATAACATTATTCAATGAAAGTGACCCTAAAAGAATGCAGGAAGTCCAGGCTATTGCAGACAAGACACCTTTAATCTCTAGTACCTACTGTGTCTCCATTCCAGTGCCACATGTTGAGTCTTTATGCTGATAGAGGATGCTCACAGCTGATGAATGAGATGAAAGTACTCAGAAATCTTATTAAACCAGTTTTAAAGCAGTGACTTTGGATAATTAAAAAAGAATTCATCTACAGATTAATTCACACTTCTAGGAATGCCAGCACCTTCGCTTTTTCCTTCTTGTTTTAGTACCGAAATTTGACCCTTGTAAGAGCAATTTCTTTTAAGTATTAGAATATGTATGTTTCTTTTTATACTTTCCTTTTCCATTAAGCTGAACAACCAGTATTTCTTTATTCAGATTAAAAAAAAAAGAAACTGGGCAGAAGGCCTGCCTGGTTCTCCGTAAAGGATGGGACAACACAACTCAAGATGTCCATCTCCTTGGAGATGACAGAGACTTTTAGCCATGGCTGTAATTCTACATGTTCTGCTGATTTCTTTATTTTCTTCTTTTTTTAACTAGAAGAATAATTACACAAATGGATTCCTAACTATGCACCAATTTTAAAAGTTAGCCACATAAACAATCCTTTCAAATGAAAAAGATACAAACATTGAATAAAATACACATCTTCTAAATTTATTGCTAGGTTTGTTGGAAAGAAAAGAATCAATAAAGTCCCAAACAAAATGAAAGGATGAGACCCTGCAAGGTAAGCAAGAAAGACAACTTTTGTTGTGAAGGTTTCTATTAAACCTCATAGATTGGACTTTAAATAGGGACTTTTTTAAAAGGCCCCACACTAGAAATAGAGATCACAAGATTAGTCTTCAGAGTTTAAGGGGAAACTAGATAAAAATAAACTTGCCTATCAAAAGGTCCCAGTAAGTCCATTTGCAATTCTAAAACTTTGCATTGGATAACAAAAGGAAAGAATGTCTCTTGAGAATTTACAACCTTAAGCTGATTTTCTTAAGACTACCTGGTCTGAGTTTATGCTCTTCTACAATGGGTCCTCAAAGAGAACATTAATTTTTAGATTTTTTTTCCAGATAGATATGGACTCCATGTGAGTGTACAGAAGAAACACAGACAAACCCTTTCTAGGGGCGCTCAATAGTAATCCAAACCTCAAGAAATTCCCATTGATGAGATTCCTTGCAGTGATAAAATAAGAACCTCATTGTCAAGTTAACAACAACAATAACACTGCATTGGTTTCCTAAGACAGCCATGAGAACTTCTACATATTGGTAGCTGAAAACAAGAAAATATTCTTTATCACACTCTGGAGACTAAGTGTCCAAAATCAAGGTACCAGCAGGACCCTACAACCTCCAAAGTCTGCATGGGAGAATCCATTCTAGATCTTTCCAGCTTTCAGTGGAACTAGATGGTCCTTGGCTTCTGGCTACATCATTCCAATATCCCTTGTCTTCTGTGTCTCACAGAGACACTTGTCATTGGATTTAAAGCGCAGGATAATCTTACCATCAGATTCTTACTTTTATTTATCATAATAGCACATCATAATTATACAAAATAATGTGTTTCACCATGGCATTTTCAGAGATGCATATATCATTCTTTGATAGTATTAACCCTGCCTATTTTTAATTAAGATCTTTTTTTTTGAAGTAAAGCCACATGCAAAGGGTATAGGGGGTGATATATGGATATATATTTTGGGGATCCACAATTCAACCAACAAATAAGCATGCAAAAAGTAGACCTCATCTGTGAGGACAACAAGAAATGAACACAGTGAAAATCTTGCCTCATTCCTCCTCCAGCGTAATATTTTTTTCCTGGAGTTAGATTTTCCATCTTTTGTAGTGTGTTCACTTACATAACTATTTAGTACATTAAATAAATCACCATTTAAAGTATATTTTTGTCTAAGTAATACATATACATAGCTTTCAAATTTGCATAATGGTGAAAAATAATTACCCAAGTCCCTATCTTGAGTCAATTATTTTAGACCCTTTTACAGTTTCCTTTGATGTATACTTCTTATTTATGCAAATGTGCATATGTTTCCATCTATTAATTCCTCATTGTTAGACATTTTCTATTGATGCCTTCTTAGAGCTCTTCCCAAGCCCTTCCACCAAAGTGTCAATATTGTTGAAATCGCAATTTTTGCTAGAATACATACTTGGGTGTTTTTCCTTGACAACACCATTGGCAGGGGAGCTGAAGATATGTCTTACCACCACCTACAACTTTTTGTGTTTCCTGGAGTTCTTTCACATTTTATTTGCACACCTTCTCTGAGTCTGAGTGTTTCTGCACTTGCAAAATATTTCTCATGCAGTTTTTCAAGTTAAACATGACAAATGATCTATTCTGTCCATTTATTTAAGATTTTCATTTTGACACTGTGTAGGTCTCTTGTTCCTACCAACATTAGCTGCTCTCTAGGTATGAGACCACTTTGGTCCCAGGACTTCCTTTCCCTTTCTGCCCTTGAATGTGAATGGACTCTCTTCCAGGTAGCAGACCAAATTTTCCTGTTTTGCTCACCTTAGTGAAGCACATCTTCTAGTTGCCCTCTGGAAACAAAATACATTGAGGGTAAACTTTTGGAGAATTTGCTTTCTGCAAATATTTTCACATTTCCCTAATACTGGAATGATAATCTGAGATGGACTTACTCATTTTAAGAGTAACATGATTTTAATAACATATAAAGAGAAAACTATTTTAAACCACATATAAATAGAAAATCTCCTTACCTCTTGTTTGTAACCCCTTTCCGCAGGCTTCGCTGGTGCCCATTATTCCCTGTCTGACAGACTCAGGCACTAGGATACAAGGACTCCATTTCTGTGGTTTCCATCTGTGATTATAAAGAAAAAGTGAACTAGAAATTCTATAATTTCCACCATGACAAACATGCAACAGAAATACTTGAAATAAATGGATCTGAAATCCAAAATCTGAAAGATAATAATTCAATAAAAATGGACTTGAAACCAATGTCATAAAACCAAGCCCTGGGGAGCACTGGGGATGACAAATAGTCTCCTATTAATCATGATCCAAATTCATGATTAATGTAATAATTAATATTTTTTGGTTTTGAATGTTTTGCATAAAAACTCATACAGAAACAAACAACTGTATCTCGCATAGAAAAGTGTTAACAAAAAGCCCTAGAAGCACAGGTCAAATGGGTGCCTTATGAACTTGAGATTGCGTACAAAAGAGAGAAATGGGGTTGGGGGAAAGACCCTGTGTCCTACTGGAGCATTAATTAGAGAATCTCAATTTGAACCTCTGAAACCCTGGAGGGAAAACCCTTCAATACTCAGCCTTCTGCTTCACAATTTTTTATATGATGCTTCCTAGGACTCAGAAGTAACTCAAACATCTCAACAGGTTATAGAATAAAAGGTAAAGAGGAGCCCTGGGGAGCATCTTAACTGATAGTTCATCAGAGGAAAGAAGAGGAAAGGCACCTTTGTTGAAATGTCAAGATTTCTTTCCCTATGAGGAAATAGTTTTTAAGACAGTCATCTGGCTTTCCACTTTTTTCCGCCCTTTCTCAGGCTAATAAAACTCCTACTTTTATGACTCAGGAGGGCAGATTATAACTTGGTTAATTTAATCCTTAATCCTGTTACTGTATAGTGTTTCAGAAAAGCCAACCTCTAAATCTAATCATAGATTCTATTATTTAGTGTATCTCATTTTTCAATAAGAGCAACTTTTGTTAAGAGAGCTACTTAAAAAGAAGAAATACGAACTAAAAATATCATTGACCTTATTCAAATGGCCACCATAAAGGGAATAACTGAGGAGTTATGAGAAAAATCAGGAAACAACTAAACAAAAATATACCCTGCTTCAAGAAGTCACCTTTTAATCTTAGTCACACATTTACTTTGGACATGGACAGATTTATTCAGCATAATTCGAAAACATAGACACTACAATGATAAAGGGTTTTAATTCAGCTTTTCTACCAAGATGTGTAGTTTATTCGGGTTCTCTGAGTTTCCATAGGCTTCTTAGACGAATGCAAGACCAGACATTTAATCTAGTTAAATAGTTTGCTGTACAGACTGAAAGGGAAGGAAGAAATTTTCAGAACTCCCATGTGAAACTTTCAGGTTTAGGATGATAAACCTGAGGTCAGACAGGTTAAGTGATAATTTGAGACAGCCTAAATCAGCACGGGCCAGTTTTCAGTCCTCAGTCTCTGAATACTCAGCTATAGACCCTTGGTTGCAGCCCACTGCCAAGTCTATCTAGGAATAAGGTTCTCATGCTTGTTCCCCTTTTCTTACTACTTTAATGAGTTGAGATATGCTCTAATTCACAGAACAAATAATTAGGCACTTCTGTTTTGATTTGGTAAACATATAAATATGATACATTAATAAAGTTTAAAAGAAAGATGAAGATAATGATAAACTTGCATCTTAAGATAATGTCTCTACCTTAACTTGCATCTTAAGATAATACCAATAAGGGGGAAAGTAAAATCTAAAGTGGAACCATATTGCTCAAAACTAAAGAATGGTTTTCTAAGGAGAAGAATTTTATGTTAACTTGGATACAGTTTGAACTACACATCAGGAGATACGATACAATCTTCCAGTTCACACACAGTGGAACTGATTTCTGGGGGAAATGGCAGGAGGTCAATAACAAAAACTAGGTCAAACATAAGTGGTTAAATTGAAGTGCAACCAGATAGTAAAGAGATGGACAATAGAATAGCCTGCTAATAGTTTCTATAATTACATCTGATTATAATAGCCCTGGGTTCATACTGATGTCTAATAATATTTGATTTGGCTAATTTTTCACTTGGCTACCTTCTTTGAGAGCTCTTTTGCAGGCCTCAGAAGTTTCAATATTTAGACATAGCAGTAAAGGATGGATATTGACAGTGTTTCCACAATGGTCCTGTGGTTACTGAAGAAAAAATGGTACTCTAGGCTTGATTCCAATTTTTTTTTTTAACATCCTCCCCAAATTGGGCACCAGACAAAAAGCCCCAAAGTAAAGCATGATGAAATCGATAGGTATTTGGACTCCTTCAATGACCCTCTTGAACTTTATTTAAAGTGAGGACTTTATCCGAAAAGAACTTGCATTTTCCTGAACAAATTAGCCCTTGAATTTCACAGCTTTAAAATATAGTTTCTCAAATAATCAGGAAAACTCTAAACATCTTTGCTAACAGTATTTTTAAGGGTGCTGATAAAACTGTATGATTGTTAAGACCATGAGCTGTTTACAATCCAACAGTGATTGAATTTAATTCAAAAATACTTTAAAGCAATGATGCATATTTAAAACATGTAAGTGTTAAAAAGAGTAGGAGGTTATGACACAACACAGAAACCTGAAACTTTGTTTTAGTGAATAAAAATTAGCAATTTTCCAAGAAAGACAACAGAGTGAACATAATAGAGTTTAAAAATATATTAATTTTCTCCCCTTTAAAAAAAAATGTTTTCTCCATAGGTTAAACATTTAACTGGTTGTTTCTGTAATTGTGATAAAAATTGACAACCTATTTTTATTAAAATAATTATTAAATTACTACAATTTTTTTCTAATTCTTTATTAAAGATTTTAAGACGGAAACAATAAAGATGTTACCCTTCTCTGTTTGTGTGTGGTGTGTGGTTGGTTTGTGTGTGGGTGGGGGATGATGTGTTTCCCTCTAGTTTAATACCTTCCATCGTGAGTCTGTTTGGATCATGAGCCTAAATTTGACTGCAGAAGTGACAGAAATCTAGTAGCTCACTTGGAGTCGAACATGTTTTGATTTTTGCATTTTAATTAGATGTTAACATCCTTTAGTCCTTTCAAATACATTTTGGGGAAAAAACACTGAAGCATTTGAAAAATACATTACCTCGTCTTATTTTTCACTAAGCAACTGTATATTAAATGCAAGAAAACAGTAGGATTTATACTTAGATCTAATGATAATTTGAAAAGGTAACTAATTACCGATATGTGGGGCACAAGGAGACATCTTCACACTCTCTCTCTTCATATAAGGTATCTGGGCATTCCTGGCCTCCATTGGCTGCTTCTTGGATGATAATTCTGTATCGAGACTGTTTTATTGTGGTATTTCCTGAAGTAAAGGAGAAATAAAATTATAGTGCCCTTGTATATTGATACAGACCAAAATCCAGGTAGCATTAGAGGGGAGGGAATAAAAGACACAAAGGTAGAGAGACAGAATTGAAGTAAGCATATGTGGAAAGACAGCCAAGGAATAAGAATTAGCAAATACTAGGAGTTAATGCCCAAGTTTGCTTCTGTGACACAGACACACTATTAGCAACTGTAATTTTAAATATATGTTATTCTAATATGTAAATATACCTTGCTACTCTTTTGATTTATTTTCAATTAATTAGAATCTACATTTCAAATGACATAAGATATACAGGGCATGATCTGAGGGGTCTCAGAAACCCTCCTGAATCTCAAACAACAGCTGACTACTCTGTGGTTTTCTTATTAATTTATTCCATCTAATAAGGTGTTTTCCTCTTTAGACTATTTTATATAATAGAAATTCACCTAACAAATTAATATTTAGTAGCCTATGGTTTATATTACATATTAGTTTATTAGATTTCTTATTGCTCATAACCTTATAACCAATATATAATATACATATATATATACATATACATATATATATACACACACACATACACACACGTGTGTGTATATATATGTATACATACATATATATATATATATATATATATATATATATATATATATGCATGTATATAGAATTGGAATTTAGGGAAGAAGTGTTGTTTACTTCAAGGTATTTCTGAGAAGTAGAACTCTTAATAAGCACCTTAAAAAGAAAACTGATTGGGCTGGGGTTGTGGCTCAAGTGGAAAGGTGCTCGCCTGGCATGCGGGGGCGCTGAGTTCAATCCTCAGCACCACATAAAATAAAGATGTTGTGTCCACCGAAAACTAAAAAATAAATATTAAAAAAATTCTCTCTGTCTCTCTCTCTCAAAAAAAAATAAGAAAAAATAAAACTGATCAATTTAATGTGTTACTTCATCACTTCACAATCTTTAGATGTTTTCGGAATCAACAACAAAAGTCAATTATCTTTATAGTGTTTAGCAATTACTTCAATTACTAAATGCAAGATAAGTGACATGTACTAGATATGCAGATGCAAATCTCTGACCCACAGAAGAAAGAGGGCAAATGTATACATAACCAGTTATAAGACTCTGCAGAATATAGGGTTTGGTAAGCAGTGAGATGATGTTATATGGGTACAGAAGATAGAATGATCCTTTATGACTCTGGAAATCAGAAACAGTTCATTGAGGAGTTAGATTTTATCCTGATTCTTGAAAACTGAATAGGAAAATTAAAAAAAAAATTATATATATAACTGGACATGGAACCAGTTTGAGAAGAGGCACCAAGACACAGAAGTGCAAGAAATTTACAGAGAAAGACACATAAGTACATTCAGAGGAAAGGTTTCTGTGGATTTCTTGCCTGCATGCCAATGAAGGGCTGAGGGAGGGAAAACTCATAGTGAGTGTTATAAAGAATAAGAAAGGGGGAAGTGAAGGAGAACATGGAGTTAATTGGTAGGTTTGGGACAGGCAGTGGACCTAACCATGTTAAGACATTAATTTCTAGAAAGAAGGTCAACTAAAAATGAGCATTTATTGAAGTTATATATACATAAGTTTTTTAGAAAATGATTAAAACAAGACTCAACAATGAAAAACAACTGACCCACAATCCAAACTCCCTTACTTGGTCTTCCTCCTCAGAGGGAACACTTTTAACTCTTGGTTTCTATATTTAGCTCTGTGGTTATCTCCAAATTTATACCTAATATACCTATGCCATTATTTCTTAATTTATGAACTTTAGAGATTATCTATTGACTTTCTGCTACAATTGAAGAGAATTTACTTTGTATCTCCTTTCAATTTTTTATAACTGCATACCTATTTTTAATGCCTCTACTGGTTATTTAAAGTCTTTAACCCATATAGTTTTCAGCCTACTCCTTGCTCCTGTCTTCCATCGGGGTGGCCACCATGAGTTTGTGGAGTCCTCCTGAGTGTATAGGCTTTCTCCTCCACTGCCATCACCTTCCTGCTAGGTTAGGTCATGGTTCCAGCTGCCATGTTATCAGTTTCTCTATTCCTCAGTCTTTATCCATCAAAGTCTGTCTTTCTCAAGTGAGTTTGGATCTCCCATCTAGTGATGGTCCTTTCCTTTTTCTTTAAAAAGGAATTAAGGCTTCAAAATTTCTTTCTTAATAAATAATTTTTAACAAGATTTTCAGAAGAACCAGAGAATGACACACACAGGCACATTTTATGACCTTGAGGTACAAGTAAAGGTGAACAGGATCTCCACATCCCCTCTGTATCCATCTTTAATCTGCTCTATATCTAGGAAGCTAACAACAGAAGGACTGTGTTGGTGACCACTTGCCTAATGGCTCCTGTTGAGTGTGTCCAATGGGAAGATGGAACACACAATGGAAGGAAAAAAGAGAAAAAGAGGAGAGAGAGGTCAGAATGTTTATTCCACTAGATTTACCACCTCTATATCAAAAGCTGTAGTTTCTATGGATTGGCACTTGACTCTAGTTACTTTCTTTTGATGCCACTAATTGTACTTTTCTCTATTGACTTCCAGGATCCCATCTGTAACTAGCCCAGGTACAAAATCATCACCTGCTGTTAACTTACACTGATAATCCCCATTCCAGTGTAAATCATCTCTTCATTAAATTTTCCTTAATTGCCCAATTTGAGGGATATCCTGCCAGGATATCCCAATATAGACAAAGGAGAGATGCTGCTATAAAAAGTGGGAGTGCTATAATTAGCCTTTTTTAAGATGCAGTGAAGTCCCTGTGAGGAATATAGAAACAGAAGTATAAAAAAAGTAAGTGAAACAATTCTGCATAATAACATAAAAAGCTATCTTCATTTGGGTAGGGAGATCTTTATAAATAATTATGCCTCTAGGAAGAAGTCTCTTCTGCTTTCCCAATTAATTCAAATTACATTGTACTTACTCTGCAAATTAACTTAGAATGTATACATGACTGTGGGCTTATGTGTGTATGTTTTTTGTCTAAGTATTATTTTAGGAGACTATAAACAAAGATTGAAGATAGTAGAAAGAATGAAAGGGTTGCCTTCACCTCATATTGGGATAGAAATCCTAAAGGGGACTAGCTGTACAGCATGGATCAATGCTTCTCCCTTTCATATGCACACCGGCACATGCCACACACTCAATACAGGTCAAATAACAAAAGTTTGTGTAAGAGAGTTACATTGATTTTCATGCCCTACAGTTGTTCAGGTCAAGGTTGAGAAGGATGGATTCCATAGTGAAACAAATACTGACACAGAGGTAAGATTCTTCAGAGGGGAAAATGACTCACTGTAGAGAAATGAAGAAATCATTGTACATGCCTTTGGATCTCTAGACAGGGAAACACCAAGATGTGTGAGATACCTATTAAGCGATGTTTTTGTGTACTCCTTTTCCCTTGAACTTTGGAATGTTCATATTCAGAATTCAGTTTTGAAGAATTTTCCCTCTCCACATTGTCACAAATGCTGTAGGTTTCCATAGCAGACGCTGTGGCAATTGCAAGAGCAGGCAATGTGCACACTGGAAATGGGGCATTGGAGGTCTCTCCAGTATACTTCTACTTTGAAGCCACTGTGAGAGTGGCACTTTTGTCAAGGGAGAAGAACAAAGTCCTGGAAATCCAGGAGGTAACAATGAACAAAAGAAGCAGATGCCTGAGGCAGCCCTCAATAACATGGTTTGAAGACAGGCAAGAGAGAATGAGCAAATATCGAAGATACTCTCCCAAAGTGATCTTAAACAAAGCCTCACTATTCTACTGATCACATAAGAAAAGTGATTTCTAGGACATAGGCACAGAGAGGTGATAGTGGCTTTTTAAATATAAGAAATTGGTGTTATGTATATGTGAAAAGTCACATAATCAAAAGCTGCCTTGTTTTATTATAACATCTTATGAGATAGCTATTGTTGTTGTTGTTATTCCCATTTCACAGATACAAATATGGACAGAGGAAAGAGGTCAATAATTATCCAAAGTCACATTACTAGAATTAAACTGCACTAGGCAGGCATCAAGGCCCATGATCTTTCCACTAAAAAGAGACTTTATAGTCAGAAAGAAAAGAAAGGGATGAGGATGTGGGGGAAAAAGGTACACTCATATATTTCTGGTGGGACTGCAAATTGTTGCAACCACTATGGAAAGCAGTATGGAGATTCCTCAGAAAACTTGGACTGGAACCACCATTGACCCAGCTATCCCACTCCTTAATCTATACCCAAAGGGCTTAAAATCAGCATACTATACTAATGCAGCCACATCAATGTTCATAGCAGCTCAATTCACAATAGCTAAACTGCAGAAGCAACCTTGATGCCCTTCCATAGATGAATGGATAAAGAAACTGTGGTATATATACACAATAGAATATTACTCAGCATTGAAAGAGAATAAAATCATGGCATTTGCAGGTAAATGGATGGAGTTGGAGAATATCATGCTAAGTGAAGTAAGCCAATCCCAAAAAACCAAAGGCTGAATGTTCTCTCTGATAAGTGGATGCTAATCCAAAATGGGGAGGGGGGAGGCATGGGAAAAATGGAGGAACTTTGTTGGTCAAAGGGGAGTTGGTGTGGGGAGGGTGCAGTGGGGCAGGAAAGATGGTGAAATGAGATGAACATCATTACCCTAGGTATATATAAAACTGCAAATAGGGTGTGGTGCTATATCATGTACAGACAGAGAAATGAAAAGTTGTGCTGCAATTATGTACAATGAATCAAAATGGATTTTGCTGTCATATATACCTAATTAAAATAAATTTTTAAAAAAGAAAGGGACATGTTAGGGGGAAGGGTTCACATCAAAACTCCTCTGTTATTCCAAAGAGATACTGCTTCTTTTCTAAGAAATTCTTTAATAACACCCTGTTTGCAGAAAGCTTACATGTCAATAAAAACAGAGTATTTGTAGGTTTTTGTGAATGTTGCTTCCCAC